CAAGAACATAAATCAACAGTGGGGAAAAATCTATAATGTATTCTATGGAAATTCAACAATCTCTACAATCCCCTACGCTGGTAATTATCATGTACTCACCAGCGACTGATATCGAAAGAGAATTTTAAGAGATCTAATGAGGAGCCGTGACTGGTAGAGTACAGACATGTTGGGTGTGAAGTAGTTAATCACCTTACCAATTGAAAAATGGCTATTCATTATCGCAAACTGACTGAAGTCAAACATGTACACCCCTGGATACCAGCTCAGTGGTCTAGATGCTAGGCATTCGTGCACGAAACTAAAGGTCCTGGGTTCGGTTCTCAGTGCCGACGTCACCGATGCACATCTCTGATACAAGGGTGAAACATATGTGCAGTGATCTCTAGTCCTTAACGGTTGTCAAACTAAAGTGAGTCGGCGGTGTTATTTATGGGAATTTAGCAATCTACAAAAAACCTTATATTGAAAAAATAATTCAGTCAAAGTACAAAATAAAATAGCCGAACTGAAGACAAATGTTTTTAATCTCTTTTAACTAACAGTAGATTTTTTTTATCATAAATGTTTTGAACATGAACAAAATGAGCATAGTTTGTATGATTTATTTATGCTAGCTCTCTACCATTCCACTAGAGAACATCTGGCTAGTACCATGATCAAACATTTAATTTTACCCGTAATAGTCGTTCTTAAAATGAAATAGAACACAATGTGGTCAGTAACATAGGTTAAACAAAACGATATTTATATGATAAACACTTATCGTGGGACATATAGGCAGAAGTTTTAGACAAACTTAATCCGTATATGAATATCGAAAGCACCACTTACATCGTAGCATCAATATACCTTACATATAAGTGGAACATTCAAATCGACGCACAAGCCAATTTATAAGATGAATAATTATTGATTATTTCGTTTATCAGTTCAACACTATCTCCCCAAAATTTTGGCTGCATAGAAAGTTATCTATGGAATGAAGAGAAAAACTTGTATGTACATAAAAAACTAGAGTTAATTTCAATGGAGTATAAAACATTCTGTTCTTTTCCCTATTAACATCGTCTCAAACAAAACTTAGGCAGATTTAAACGAAACCTTGTTTCTCATAAATATTTTATTATCAAACATTAAGACATCATTCAACGAACTCTATAAATGTTAGTCTCATATCCGCTTTTAGATGTGTTCTTTGCTTTTTAGCTTCATCGATACTCTTAATTGTATTTTACGTTACACACTACTTGTTAGTATTCAGTAGATTAAAAATCTTCAGCCATTTTTTGACGCTGTTGTGAATGGTGTATTTTTGCTGTAAAGAACTGCTCATACCATCCATTTATTTTATATATTTAGTTCCACTTGTAACAGTACCTTTTCTTCTTCAATTAATCAGTCTTGCTATCGGGAGATACTCTTTTAAGTTTTGTAAAACTTCAAAAGTTTATAATTTATTTCTATTAGTTAATGATATTCCCGTTCGATGCGGTCATGTTTCCGGATTTATATGATATATAATAAGTAACCATTTATTCACTTACTTTAGTCTTGCTTTTTGTGACAACAAAACTGACATCTAGAAGCTTCAACAGTCTAGGTGTGTCGGCTTACAGTGCTTATTTTATTTTCTCTTGAAGCATCGTATTATCAAATAAGTTTCGCCGTTCAGTTTTAGGGATTTACTCGTAAAAATCAAACAAATGGATTATTTTGAAAAGAGCAAGAACAAAGATTCTAGCAAAATAGGATGAATTCATTTTATTTCTTAAGTTCTCATCAACTGCTTCCTTCAACCTATGATATTTAAAATCATAATTATATAATAGGTGTAAATTACTTATATGAGAGGTTTGGTTAGAAGTTATATTGAAGACACATTCATACAGTAAAGCAAAGGTGTAAATAAAATTACTAGACTGAATACTGTAAATATATACCTTATATGAAAGAACATTCTGCAACATTAATTGTGACAACAGTTCAAAGGACCAGAAATAAGTGATGAGAAATGAAGAAACATTGTTAGGAATATGGTGAGTAGAGCTCAGTTGATAAAATAAGACTATTAATTTGGAAGATAAATAATAACAAATAACAAATGCAGGAAAGAGTTTAAAGAAAATTTTTTTTCAAGATGCAGCGGAGGGATATTTGTCACCTAGGCAAGGAAAGATTAATAACCATCTGCTTCCGAACATCTAAGTCAGGTTTTTGACGCCTGATGGCAACTGCTTCAGAAGACTGGAGTTTGGCTGCTTACTAACCATCTTAAAGGATTGTAAGGTATCTACCTGATGTCTTGTATCAAGGAGGTGTTTGCACTGTTTAGAGTTTTTCTTCCTCTTGTTCTGAGACGTTTTGGAACATGTTCAAAAAATCTAAGGTACGCCCTCCTTTTCTATTAGTGATTGTTACCTAACGATTTAACCAATATATAATTATCCTGCTGACCAGCCATTCCATCTGGTTCCTTGTTTATATTGTAATAAATTTTAGATCCTTTATTGTGATCATAAACCAATGTTAACGATCTGCACTGATAGATAGGAAGATTTGACTTTTATGATATGCACTAAATATTATGAACTCATCGGTTGATTCTTGCAACTAAAATAGTCTATTTCAACCAGTAACTGTGTAGAGCCAGTGAAATGTCACTGAGCACTAGTCAAGTCATCCTGCAACTTGGTCACTGAATATTGAATAGTTAATCGATACCCATCATGTCAAGGGCAACAAAAGCGCATCACTTAATCGTACTCCATGGACTGTCCCATGCGGTGGTGGTCACACTTTCGCTTGTACCTACTTTAACTAATATATTTCTGTAATAATGTCCTTTGTGTTGTACGGTCTTCAAAGCATCCATAGTACCTTGATACGACGAAAGGGTAATCCACGTTAGGTACTGACCGCGCGGTGTAACTTCGTCGTTAGCTGTTGGTCACACCCCAATCATTCGACAGATAATCAACGTTGCTAATCTATAACTGTATGACTTGAATGCATTTCGAAACACTTAAAGGAATCGGCTGTTTATTGTAAAACTGTTATTAGATGTTTAGAATAGGCAAATCTAGTGATTACTTCAAGTGTTGCTCTATCATTCATTTTCATGGGACGATTTTATTTGTGGCATTAAATCTATAATCTTGGCTACATAATTTCTAGTATGAACTGTTAATATCAGAATGAAATAATGAGCTACATGTTTGTGAACTAAGTAATGTATCATAAAGTTGTAAATTGAAAATTATCCGTTCTAGCTTTCCAAAACCCTTGTAACAGGACTGAGTTTAGAAACATAAATTCACTAAAATATTAATTTACCCAGTTCAGATAAACAATAGATTTGAAACTAACAAGGCTTGAAAAAGTACCACCTAGAAAGAGAACACACACCTCGGGGCTCCAGCACCGGTTAATTAGATCGGTAGGACTAAACTCAAAACCGAGCATTTGGTCAATAAATGATTAGACTGTAACGCTATATCATGGGATTCAGTTATCCGAATGGTCATGAAGAACCAGACTATACCAGGACGGTAGTTTATTAACATAAAGTAGAGCCAGTTGACAGCAGCAATAGGTCTTAATATACACAAAGGGAAAAGCAAGATTCTCCGATACAACACACCATGCAACAATCCAATCACAATTAACGGAGATTTGGGAGATGTACAAACATTTACATATCATCGATGAACAAGGTGGATCTGATGCAGATGTGAAGGCACGGATTGGCAAAGCAAGAGCAGCATATTTACAACTGAAGAATATCTGGAACTCAAAACAATTGGCAACCAACACCGAAGTCAAAATTTTCAATACAAATGTCAAGACAGTTCTACTGTATGGGGCCGAAACCTGGAAAACTACGAAAGCCATAATCCAGAAGATACAGGTGTTTATTAACAGTTGTCTACTCAAAATACTTCGAATCCGCTGGCCGGACACTATTAGCAACAACCTACTGTGGGAGAGAACAAACCAGATTTCAGTGGAAGAAGAGATCAGGAAGAAGTGCTGGAAGTGGATAGGACACACATTGAGGAAAGCACCGAACTGCGTCACGAGACAAGCCCTCACATGGAATCCTCAAGGTCGAAGGAGGAGAGGAAGACCAAAGAACACATTACGCCGAGAAATGGAGATAGACATGAGAAAAATGAACAAGAATTGGATGGAACTAGAAAAGAAGGCCCAGGACAGAGTGGGTTGGAGAATGCTGGTCGGTGGCCTAGGCTTCATTGGGAGTAACAGGCGTAAGTACAGCCAGTTGACTCAGTACTTGCAAACCACTTTGAAACGCAAGTTTAAATGGCTTTCGTCCTTTTGTGCTTATAGAAATGTTGGGAGCCGTTGGTATAGGTGAGATATTGCTGGTCCATAATGTTCTGTTTTGCATAAATTGCCAGTTATTTTTTTAGCAAATACTCATCATGTTATAATGTATGGTAATAAGTACTGATCAACTAGCGTATAACCAACGAAATTCCTAAGTGAAATTTTTTGACTCCGTAGTGAGAAACGTCAATGGACATTAAAGATATTTCTAAATACTCGGTCATTTTGACAATAATCCTCGCTTTATAGGTAAATATAATTTCACGAATTAGTGGTGATCCCAATTACACTCTAATATGACCTTAGTGTCGCAGTATTATAGCAGAAATACTTAAAAACATATTTGTCCGAAAAATACATCGAATAACCCGCAGAAGTAATTCAATAACACACTCAGTATGATAAAAGTCAGTCATTAATTTAAACGGTGGGGATATAGTGCTCTAAGTAAAAGCACATTAAAACATATTAAATTAGATGATACAAACAGCATAAGTCGCATTAAACACGAACTATAAGAGATCTCCAATTTTACACATTCCTTCAGGTCACGTCCAAAAAAGGTTGAAAATAGATTTTATGGTTGAATAGAAAAATGGCAAGAACTTCCCACTAATTCACATTAGAAGAAAAGTACGATTTTTTTTGAAATATTTTATTTAGTTATTTACACTGTCAATAAATAAAAACTAGAATCAACTGGCTGAACTATATCGGGCGTATAAATTCCTAAACTATAAATGTTTATATAATAATCTTAAAATCAGGGTCGAGTTGATCAACTGGAGGCAGCTGAACACGGGAAGCAGGGATTAGATCTTTATCTACAAGAGGTAGGCCATCTCTTCTTCGTCTTTCTATTTCCAAATATGCTTCTCTCCAAAGCCAGTCAGAAAAACTAAAAACAGTTTGATAACAATCAGTAAATATTACGATGAAGTACCAGCTGTAAGTAAACAAATTATTTTAATAACTCGAAACAAATGTAGAGAATAAAAACGTCACGGAAAAATCAACCCATAAAAAGAAGGTTGATGTTTTTGAAATGTAATAACCGAATGAGAAAATCCCATGTATTAAAACTTGTGATATTACCAACGCAGTAGCACGACATTAATTACATGGTACTCAAGAGTGTGATGAAGAAAGGAGCTACCATCTACTGGAACTTTGGCCACTTAACTGAAGCAAGACCTACTCTCAACCACTAACCATGTGACTGTTGGTCGATCACTTAATATAAACCATTTACCTTTAGGCTTATAACATAAACAATATTTTCCGTGTTTTAAGACATTTGGACGGTATTCCTATAAGAAATAAGACCAGTTGTTAAATATTTGACCAACCAAACTAACAGATTACATTGTCTTTAGGTTTACGAGATAACAGAGACCACCGCAAAAGTACTCCTATTTGAAAAGTCTAGTACCCTGAAGATGAAAGGCTTGGAAACTACTACCCCAAGGAATTGCACTTGTTGGTGTCAAGGCTTTTCGGTGTATCATCCATCAATAAATACACAGAAACAATTTTTTTTCCATACCAATCTTTTAAACCATATGTATCTAGCGTATCTAACAAAAATATTACCCCGATGTTCATCAGGTTAGTGTGATTAAATTAAACATACAGTGAATGAGAAATTTTACGCAGCTCAACTGCAGCTTTAAATCTACTGGTACAAAACAACAATACAGCCATCACATATATTCAGAAAAGGTTAAGAAACAAATTCTCTGGAGTGATGAGACACTGAACCGGTGATAAAGTACCACACAAAACAAATGGTTTGAGATCCTTTAAGATACTGTTTATGAGTATTTGCCTACACATCTAATTATTAAACGGTTCGAGAATTTTATCGAAGTACTCGATATATTTCATGAGTATATATAAAAATTATTATGGGAGGGCTTAAAAACGAAAGATGAACACACACGAACTGACAGTACTTACCTACGATTAGGAGAGTAATACATAAACAAAAACAACGGGAAAATCCAGAGTGTAAGAAGAGCGAAAGGTATAAACTGTGATAGGAAAGTATCTTCTTTTTTGTCAGTTTGGTGATAACCCGTGGTAATCCAGTCCTTTAGACAAACCATAAGAAATGTGTGAAATCTTTGCTAACCTTTGTCATTTCTTCAACCTCTTTTTCTATTTGCCTTTTATCCGCTTCCGGGATATTATTTTCCTTTAGTATATGTTTCATCTCATTTAACTTCATATGCATTGAGATAGTGGTACATACATGTCTCTTTATATGTGGAGTTAGAACAGCTGTAATACGACTAAAACTCCGAGGGCTAAACACACTTAAAGCTGACAACTTTAGGGACGCCATCTGCAAGTCTACTTTTGATGAGCGCGCCCCAAAATCTTCAATCTGCAGGCACTCGTTAGTTGTTGAAATCCATAACATGTTGAGTGAATTCTCTGACAGAACACTGACGGTGTATTGTCCGCAGACTACAATGGCATGGGATTCCAAGCTCATGTAGTTCTAGTGATCAAATTTTCTTGTGATGACTAATCAGGTGTTGTTAGTACGAATTTCAAAAAGAATCTCATGGCTAAAAGTCATCCGAGTGGCCATTATCTCGTTGAATTTACGGGATATAATCTTTAAAATATGATTTTATTTGAGAACATGTGGACAGTGCAAAAAATTGAGATGCATCTCCACTTTTTACACCTGTAGAGTCAATAAAATGTCAGTAGGCCCTAGCCAAATCATTCGGTAGTCGAGTCACTGATTGTCGTCAAGTTTACTGATTCTCGTCAGTGGCAACCAATGCGCACTAGCTAATTGCACGCGACGGACAGGGTGATGCAGTGGTGGTCGCATTCTGTTCCTTGTACCTACCCTTATTAATATATTCTTGTAATAAGGTCGTTTGTGTCGTACGGCCATCATAGTAGCCACAGTACCTGTATACGGCGAAAAGGTACTCCATGTTAAGTAATAACCAACTTAATTAGTCCTACAATAATCAAAACAGATCATCTGAGTTGGTGTATAATCTAAAAATACCATAACCAGTAACACCTTTTATAATCGGAATGTGTTAGAAGCGAACAAGTTCGGAGATATAATTGATTAGCTATCGATATATTGAGAAGTAATCAATCTATGCTGGTTAGCGGTCATACGAACGGGAAGTTTAGTCTTAACGTGATTTGCATTTCACAAACTTTTGCTGTGTTCTTACGCAATAAAAGTACCATTTCTGATCTCAAACATCTGCCCTGAGCTATACGTTTGGTAGATTACTTTTCTTCTTGAGTTTTACCCAACTTAATAGTTATCTGTGGTTTTGCCTCAGCTCACTATTCGACTTTTTATTTGTTTACGTCAAGGCTAGTTTCAGTTTATCCTAACCTTTTGTACTACCCGTTTTTATCCATTTTTACCCGTTTTCAGTGTACTGTTTTTTCAACGGTCTTAGGCTACTGCTAAGATCTATGAAACAATTTACGTCTCTATAGTCATGAAAAATTCGTACAAACCACCTGGATGCCGTTTTGCTGTTACATCTGACATGCAGTGCAACAACTGCAAAGGTTGGTTCCAAGAAGCGTGTACAGGTCTTACAGTAACTGCTTACAACAGACTCAGTAAGTCGGATCATAGATGGGTATGTGCCATGTGCAACACAGATGCTGATGTTTTGCTGAGAAACTTCACTGTTCTATTGACGGGTCTGCGAAATAAGTTATCAGCAAACTTCAAAAAAGACAGTCCTAAAACGGGTAGACAAATAACGACGCTCAACAAAAACAAGAAGAAGGAACTCGATAGCGCTACTATCGATGGGACATGTAATAACACTAGCGATGACATGCTGAAACTCATCACCATCATAACATCTATGGTAATAGACTCCCTCATCAAACTTGGACCTCCCAGCACAGGTTCACAAAGACTCTGTAGGTGATTGGAGCCCCGTTAAAAATTTGAAAAGTACTAGGCGTCACCGCCTAAGAAGCTGAACATCCCAAGTATTATATGGAAATCAACTGGTGATTTGGCCACACAGTCTACCCTCAAGAATGTCCATCCTGTCAGCTAAGAGCCCAGGAATCGGAAACGCACTGTGACCTCCAAACAACAAGGTCCTCAACCTGAACGAACCATAAAACCTGGAAAAACAATAACAGTTCGTGATGATTTTCTCATAATTATAAACCTTAAAGACAACCCTGACAAACATGATAGGATGCTCTGGAAAGAGTTAAACAAGAAGCTCAAACTCCTCATGACAAATCCTTTGACAGTTACACGGCTCACTAAGGGGAAGGACTTTAAGTATCAAAATCACCAAAGGCTATTTCATGCGACACTGACTAACGCTACAGACGTAGAGGATATTCTATCAACTAGTCGCTTAATGAAATCAGACAGGAATGTAAGAATACTGCCTGACATAACGCATTCTGAACATAATCTCATCCGGAACATCCATAAAGAGTCTCGTGAGAAGTTCTTCCGCGGAAGAAATATCATTGTTCAAGGTGTACTGGAAAACAGGGACCCTGGCCACACAAACTCTGATACTATAAAAATTCATCAAGCATTCCTTGAAGCTCAAAAACATATTGACTCAACAAGTGGTGAGACTAGCCAAGAAAGACGGAGATTCTAGACTTCGGTTGATGAAGATAACCTTCCTATTTTCCCATATGATGACTGCAACTCTGGAGGAATTTCGTGCCAACAAAGGTTAGTTGCTACCTGGAATCCATGTGCATTCGAATAGGTCATAAGACGCTAGGATTAAACACAACGACAAGCTGAAGCTGACTTTTCCACCTGTGGACTGTTTTAATCCTAAAAAAACGTGTAAAGGACAGGGTCTATCAACTCGGAAAACCTTGTATAGGTAGACTACCTGTCCATCCACCTAAGACTCATACAGAAAAACAGGAAGATGTTCACGCATTTCAAACTGAAAGCGTAAACTGCCTCTGCATGAAGGCCGCGAGTTTATCGAATAAAATGAATGAGCTACGTAAACTCAGTAATGCTAATAATGCTCATCTGATAGGAATATCTTGAACTTGGATATCTTCTCAGTTTACGGGCCAGCAGTGCTCGGAATGTCTTTGTTTCGCAGTGATAGAAAAACTGGAATTGGAGGTGGAGTAGCCATATACTTACGATCATACCTGGAGGCATATTAAGTGCACTTCCAAGAGTTCATCAATCCTGATAAATCCGTAAGGTGTTCAGTAAGGTTGCTTACCATCTCTAGGTGTCTAGTTAGAGTCATCTATAGGAAGCTCACTGCCGACATGGAGTATAACGATCACATGCTGGAAGGATTATCTCGCTCTACTTGCCCCGGATTCACTCATATCCTGATTCTAGAGGACTTCAATCGTCCTAAAGTCAATTTCGCGAAACACACGTATTTGGAGGTGAAAGCTCTACTGAAGCTTGGTTCTTCAACGTCATTGAGGATCTGGGATTACCCAAATTGTGAAATCGGCCTTTCCATTGTTATTAATATGAATATTACTAAATTACGAAACATACGGTTTATCCTCTCCTATTATTCACTGATTATTAATCATGGCCTTATGCTCCTAACCCTCAATTTTCGTTTCCGAATCTCTCTAATGATTGAGTATACATTATTCTTTCTAAATGTCATGCCTTTTTCCATTGCAGGTAAACAGATAACTCACTAATCCTATGGATACTGATCAACTAAGGCCGATCATAAGGAGCTCATAATGTCCTAAATTCTTGTGAGTTGCTCAGTGTTTTATTATTCTTACCCTGAAACTTTTACAATTTTTACTCTTTCATATTCTTTGATTTGCTATTAGTTCTTACCATCTTTAAACCATAAATAATCTAATCTTTTTAAACTTTTACTATTAGTTATCTTCATAGCAGTGTGATACACTAAATGGATGTCTAACCCATAATACAATTACTTTAACTATCTGATTAGCTTGTAACATAAAACTAGTAGAGACAGTGTATTCAAACTATGGGCTTTGAATAAAGCAATATTCATACTTACCGCAAATATAAGAGAGCCTAACATCACAGAACGAGGTAGGGTCGTCACTGACCAGCAAACATAATGATGAGGAGATAACTTCAATCCATCAATGTCTGTAGAGCAGAACATTTTCTTTAATTACGGCTCCTTTATGGTCTAGTGAGATTGCCGTGTTTGAATGAACTAATGACTCCTTTGTACTTGTTGAATGTTTGATTTCGAATTCTAAATACAGTACATTCGTTAGTGCTTGTGTAGTACTTCTTGATTCAATTGCGTTATCCCTGGGATTCTTAGTTCATACTATAATTCAATTACTCCTAATTATCATATTGGCGTCGCGATGGAGCCTGCGATGGAACAGTTAGATATTCATCCAACTTCTGAAGCTTTTGAGGATTATTTAGAAAGGTTTTAAATTTGGAGCATGACCAAGAAGGATGTTAAAGGTGATAAGATTGTGGCACATTTCCTGACATTCATCGGAAAAGAAGCATACAGCTTATTGAAAACTTTGGCATATCCAGAAAAACCTATCTCACTTCCTTATGCAACTATTAAGGAGTTATTATTAAATCATGTAAAGTGCACTAGTTTTGAATGCCGTGAAAGGGCAAAATTTCATAAGATGACTCGTCAAAATGACCAAAAGGTTAAGGAATTCATCCTTGAATTGCAGAAACAAGCTGCCAAATGTAATTTTGGTGATCAACTTCATGTGCAACTGAGAGACCGATTAATCGCAGGAATCAACATACCGGGTTTGGAAAGAGAGCTGATAACAATGCCCAACTGTTCCTTTCAAGATGCTAGAACTGCGTGTATTAACTACGAGGCAGTGAATGAACTTGATATCCAGTCGATGAAGATTTCTAATACTTTGCTTAGTCGTCATGATGGAATACAATCTCAGGGTCAATCAAAATTGCGTTCGTTTAACAGTGGCTCCTATTCTCGTGTAAATATGAAAGATATCTCAACAAGGAATTACAAAGGAAATCACAAAGGTGAGACCAAGTTTGGCAAATGTTTATCATGTGGAAAAATTCATTCTCGTAATTCATGTGCATTTCGTAATGCTAAATGTTTTAGATGTGGTAAGATAGGACACATTCAAACAGTATGCAAAGTTTCTGTTCATTTTGCCTCAAGTAGTAATAAATCCTGTAATTTAGATCCCAATAATTCAGCTGTTCCTAATGATCATTTATCTTTGTCTACCATTTCGAAAGGTAATACTCATATTCAAAAGCGATTATATACATCGCTTGGTTCATGTCATGACTTTATTGTTGACACAGGCAGTATAGAGTCCATTATTTCATTCAAGAACTTGAAATCTTTAGATCCTAAAGTTGTGGTACGACCCACTGAGGTATCAATATTGGGGATTACTGGACACAGACTGCCTATACGAGGATGTTGTGAGTTGCTAATAAGAGATGATAATTCTTCATACATACCTTGTGAATTTTTAGTTAGGGAAACAGGACTGTC